AGCAATTCATGCACATTATCTCCAACAAATTGTATCTTCTTTTTTAACTCAATCATGGTCCTTAAATCATACATGCAAAAACGTCTGGAGGAAAAAAAGTGAAGTTCTGGATGATGAGCACTTGACTGGCCATTGCTAATGTTCTTCCCCGTCTTGACTCACGTCATCTTCATCAATGAGTAAATCCTCACTATAATCGTCTTCCTACTTCATTATCCCTGCCGTAGGATTGAAGGGGCGGCACTTTGGGAACTCACATTTGTACTTAAATGGAAATTTTATTTTTTATATTTTTTCTAAATTGAGAGATTGTTTATGTGTGATAGCAACTCATTTAATTAATACAACTTACGTGGAACTTAGTGCTTCGTCTCATTCATTTTCATTGACGTATATGATAACGAGGATGAACATTTGACAACTTTCTTATTAGGGTGGTGAAAAATAAAATAAAAAGAGTCTTTGCTACCTCTTCTGAGAAAGATTAAGATTAAAGGATAGACAAAATTAATGAACGGTTAAGAAAATTCACGATCTATGTTAACAATTCCCACCCAACTTACCCAATGTAAATTCAAGAGATCAAGCTTACGTAATAATTTTTACACGATAAAATATAATAATTTAAATGTCCATATAGTTAGAAAAAATTAAAGTTAAAATACAGGGGACCGTCTTTTAAATTTCTATAATAAAAATTGGGTGGTGGTGGTGGGGTGGAGACGGGGACGACAGTGAGATGGTGTGATGATGGCGGTTGTGGGATGCTAGAAGTTTTAGAGGTTGCAGGTTGCGATTGTGGTGTGATAGTTGTAGGTTGTTTTTTCTTCTTCATCGGTGTGATGATCTGAGTGGTGTTTGTTGTGATGGTTTTATGGGGTTGGTGGTGGTTTGATCTGGCTGGCAAAAGACATGACACATGGGCAATTTTGGGTTTTTTTTTTTGTGTTTTGGAAATATAGCCGGTAGTTGTGAGGCGGATGCGCTGGTGATGGTGGTGGTAGTGTTAATGGTGGCGACAACGGTGGTGTGGTGGTTTCAGGTTGTGGTGGTGCAGTATGAAAGTGTTTGTGACCAACTATTTGGGGGTTCGTGACCAACTATCGAGAACTGGTGGTGGTGGTGGTGCTTTTGGCGACGAAAGTGGTGGTAGTGCTACTGGAGATAGTAGTGAGATCGTGGTCACAAGTTTCGGTGATGGTCACAAATTATTTGGTTGACTGTGACTATTAAATTGATTAATTCGTGACCAATAAATAATATTTGACTAATAAAAAATATAAATTTTGACTAAAAAATAGCGTGTGACATAAAAAATTATTAATCTATGATCAATAATTTGATAATTTGTGACTGTATAATAAGTTATGACTTATAATATTTGTGATTTGTGA